TTCCTTCATCAAACAATTAACTAATTGATAAATTTCAAATTACTTTGTATTTAAATCATTAATTTTAGAAAAGTTTTCAGGGTTGATTAAGACATATTTGTAATAGTCAGGATCAATGATTGTGATTTATACCCTTGATGAATAATTATTCACAATAAATTTAACATTTTAATCCTCTGATTTTTTCCATCTATTCTTCAAATTGAATTTAGTATGCAATCCAAATATTCCATAAATATTATACTAAATCCTACATTATGATCCAAATTATAATTTTAATTTGATCATCGTAATCATAGGCTTAATTACAAAGAAAAGAAAAAGCAATCCGAAAAGAAGTAATAAAATTTAGACAAGCATTTAAACCTGTTATTATAATTATTTCATAACTTTGAAAATTATTACAATAACTAGATTTCAATTAATATTTATATCTATAATTCATAACTATTAATATTGAAATCCAAGGGTCCATTTTAGATTATTATCTTGAGAATTTAAGGTAAAATAAATTTGCTCTTCTTTTATGCCATTTTTTATCTAAAATAATCTCTTTTTTGTGGAGAAAATGGTAGATAAAGTAAATCTAATACCAATAACCATCTTTTATAATCAAGCAGCTCATGATTAGTTAGATGCTTAGATAGCAAAGATTAAATTTGAGAATCAATAACCACAAACCATCTTAAATATTTAATAAACAGTAATATTTATAGATAGAGTCAATCTATGTAATCGTTTGATCTTTTCTTTTAAGAAATATTCATTCTTCCTTATTTTCAATACTTATTCTCATAAAATTTTTGGTTGTAGTGCCAAAGAATATTATAATCATAACTAAAGAAGGTTTTAGTATATTCATGAATAAATTAATATTTTAACTGCAGATTTCATCAAATCGTAGCACCTTATCATTTTTGTTTCAAATATTCTTTGATAAGACAATGTAAATAATCATGATTCTTTTTATATACATCATTTTTATAAATTTTTATTTCTATTTCAAAAATCCTTAATTTTGATTAAAGAAAAAGCACTTTAAATCAAACTATCTCTATTCAAAATATTCGCTAATTCATTTTCTTAAAAAATAATTTGAATAAACTTTTTGAAATTTTTTGAAATATAAATGGATCATTATTCTTCTCTTTGATTAATAATAATTCGAATAAACTTGCTTTAACTTTTTGAAATATAATAGACTTACCAATTACCTTGTTTAATCATTGAATGGTTGTTTTCTATAATGTTATTAATATTTTGAAATTTAATTTGTATTTTGATTTATCAATAAATAATTGTATTTTATAACTGTTGATAGAATAAATTGTTTATCTTTAATAATTTATTTTAATGGCTCATAAAACTATTATTTGCTTTATGTTTGTAATAAAAAATAAAATATGTTTCAAATGGTTAATGTAAAATGAAAATTGTAAATGAATGTGAATATAATAAATATTAAGTTGATATCATAAACTATAATTTCAAAGTCAAATTTGATCCTGATGTAAAATAATGAAATAGAACAGTTTGAAAAGCAGAAATTAGAAATAAATTAAAAAGAAAATATTTAGAAATAAATAAAAATGATCTTAATATTAGGATAAATATTTCTATATCAAGTGTTGGGTTTTATTACTTATGATGAGAGCACATTTAGATCGTTTCATTTAATTAATCAAGGATTTATATGTTTTTAAAACTATTAGAGAACATAAATGATAAGATTTAGGGATTCTTTTGAATAAATTCCAAAAGTAATTCTAATACCTGAATTATTTGATATTCCAACGGAGACAGTCAGTTACAATTTAGAGATAATGAGTATAAGTGAAAAGAGTAAAAATTTGGATGATTAATTAGATTTTACTTTGAAAATAAAATGTACGGATGGAGTAGTAAATGGAATTCATTATCGATGGCTTGCAATAGATGATGCTAGAATATAAGTTATTAACTAATTCAATATAAATGAATTTGAGGAGAAAACATTCGATCATGTAAATGGAAATGCATAACATTATTTTGTTTCTTTAATATCACTATCTTACAAAGGATAAGTAAATTTTGAAGTGAAAGTAAATTTAATAAAATAAGAAGGTATCTGAAATAACAGAGAGTAAGGTAGTAATTGGGATAACAGATCCAACATAATAATTATAAAATCTTGTTTCATTAGGATATTAGATTATATTAGGGACAGAGGATATGTTATAATCATATGGTATAAAAGAAACCGATTAATATAATGCTTATTTAAGTTAATATTATCCATTGAAGTAGTAATCTTGGTTTATTATACCTTTTTAAGGATTCTAATCTTATCCTGAGGATAGAATGAGGTTAAGAAAGATATATTATTCTAATGAGACTTATAAATGGTATGAGATTACGACAGGTAGATTAAAATTTGAATTTAGTCGGTTGTTGTTGTTATTTAGTACATAAACATTCACCTTTATGGATGAGTTTTGTGTCTACAATATAAATGACTCCTTTTGTATTTGGTAAGGTGAAGATAAAATAGATGAAAGACACCTAAACTAATTATATTAATACTTTTAAAGCCAAAATTTTAGGTTAGAATGAGTTTATTATGGATCTAGGAGAAACTAAATAAATTATTCATAAAGATTCATAATCAATATTTTTAATTATATTTGCAAAATGTAATCCAAATGACATAGTATCAATTAAATTTCATTATGGTTAAAGTTCAAATATTATATTTCACACTAGCAAATATAAATGTGATTAATCTTTTTAAGAGATTGTTTTTTCCGTTTAACTAGTACAAACATCCATAGCTTATTAAGAATTGATAATTAATCTATCAGAAGAGAAATTTGAAATTACACAAATACTTTATAATTAACTCTTAAGTAAAGTGAAACTATTTGAGATAATTAAGACAGCAATAATATGAGGAACAAGTATTTTATGACATTATTCTATAATATAGAATTATAAATATTTAATAAATTATGTTTTCATATTGATTAAAATTCTTGTTTTAGAGAAGATTAATTTTCTTAATCTAATTTATCTTAAGCTGATTTTATTAGGCTATCAGCTTCATCATTTAATTCCATAGCCTTTAAGGTCTCAGCTTGAAAATAACAAAAAATGGATATACCTTTTTTGAACATATACTTAGGATTAGGTGATAATTTGATAGCATTATCATAAGATTAAACAGCTTCTGGATATTTTTTTAAATTATGTAGTGCTTCTCCTATAGATAATATTAAGTATAACCTCTAAATGCATGGGCTTCATGTAATTAATTATCGATTAAGATAACTTTATCAAAACAATCTAGTGATTCTTTGTAAGCTTGGATTCTAAGTAATCCCAAACCTAAATATATATATATATAGAAAAGATAACCTTTATTTAGATGAGCTTCAGGTTCATTAGGATCAAGTTATACTGCTGCATCTGCTATTTTGACAGCTTCTTAATATTCTTTTAATTAATTTAAACATTCGGCTAATAATATTATAAATTAAGTACATTTTAAAATTAATGCTTCTTAATTTTTAGGATTGATGCTGGTTACTATGGTAAAGTTTTCAATAGCTTTAGGAAATTTATTTAGTTTGAGTAAGGCAACACCTAAAATATGTAAAAATTGAATACCCATAAGATAATATATTTATTCATTTTCTGGTTATATGTCTAAAGATCTCTCTAAACTTTTAACAGCTTCTTCATATTATTACATTGTTATCAAGGTCTTTCCTTTATGAATAATAATAATTATAAACCTTTATAGAAATGACCATCGAAATCATTTGGATCTAATCCATTTGCTAAATCGAAAAATTCTATAGCTTCTTCATTTTTATTTAATTCTGATAAAATGGTTCCTAATAAATGAGTAATGATAATACCTTTTAAGGAGAAGATTTTTAATTTATCAGGATCAGATTGAATTATAAATTCACATGTCTTAAGAGCTTCTTCAAATTATTTCAATTTCANGACATAGTATCAATTAAATTTCATTATGGTTAAAGTTCAAATATTATATTTCACACTAGCAAATATAAATGTGATTAATCTTTTTAAGAGATTGTTTTTTCCGTTTAACTAGTACAAACATCCATAGCTTATTAAGAATTGATAATTAATCTATCAGAAGAGAAATTTGAAATTACACAAATACTTTATAATTAACTCTTAAGTAAAGTGAAACTATTTGAGATAATTAAGACAGCAATAATATGAGGAACAAGTATTTTATGACATTATTCTATAATATAGAATTATAAATATTTAATAAATTATGTTTTCATATTGATTAAAATTCTTGTTTTAGAGAAGATTAATTTTCTTAATCTAATTTATCTTAAGCTGATTTTATTAGGCTATCAGCTTCATCATTTAATTCCATAGCCTTTAAGGTCTCAGCTTGAAAATAACAAAAAATGGATATACCTTTTTTGAACATATACTTAGGATTAGGTGATAATTTGATAGCATTATCATAAGATTAAACAGCTTCTGGATATTTTTTTAAATTATGTAGTGCTTCTCCTATAGATAATATTAAGTATAACCTCTAAATGCATGGGCTTCATGTAATTAATTATCGATTAAGATAACTTTATCAAAACAATCTAGTGATTCTTTGTAAGCTTGGATTCTAAGTAATCCCAAACCTAAATATATATATATATAGAAAAGATAACCTTTATTTAGATGAGCTTCAGGTTCATTAGGATCAAGTTATACTGCTGCATCTGCTATTTTGACAGCTTCTTAATATTCTTTTAATTAATTTAAACATTCGGCTAATAATATTATAAATTAAGTACATTTTAAAATTAATGCTTCTTAATTTTTAGGATTGATGCTGGTTACTATGGTAAAGTTTTCAATAGCTTTAGGAAATTTATTTAGTTTGAGTAAGGCAACACCTAAAATATGTAAAAATTGAATACCCATAAGATAATATATTTATTCATTTTCTGGTTATATGTCTAAAGATCTCTCTAAACTTTTAACAGCTTCTTCATATTATTACATTGTTATCAAGGTCTTTCCTTTATGAATAATAATAATTATAAACCTTTATAGAAATGACCATCGAAATCATTTGGATCTAATCCATTTGCTAAATCGAAAAATTCTATAGCTTCTTCATTTTTATTTAATTCTGATAAAATGGTTCCTAATAAATGAGTAATGATAATACCTTTTAAGGAGAAGATTTTTAATTTATCAGGATCAGATTGAATTATAAATTCACATGTCTTAAGAGCTTCTTCAAATTATTTCAATTTCATTAAAATTATACCTAAGTATAAGATAAAAAAGATATTACATTTAATATAAGATAAATCAAGATTAAATTGATATTTTTAAATTGCTTTATTGCAAATATCTAAAGCTTCTTTAATATTTCCTTAATTGATTAAATGTCCACCTTGAAATATAGATAGGATATTTACAAAATTTAATGAAAATTTGAGGAATGAATTCATTTTCATAAATTTTAACTTATTCAGGATCTAAATTAATTTTAGGTTGAGGTTTATTTTTGTATCTAAATAATATATTATAAATAAAACTATGGATCATTGGAATTTTGTTTTTAAAGGATTTGCTCTATAACATATTTCATAATTTCTGGTGATTAATTATTAAGTAATATCATGAGTTGTTGTTTTTGATCATTGTTTAAAGATCCTAGTATTGATTAATAAGAATTTGGTTATAAATTAGGAGGTAATGGAGTTTTAGAAGTTGTTGGTAAACCTGGTAAACCAGATGGAGTAATTCCAGGAGGTAAACCTTATAGAGTAATTCCAGGTGGTAAACCAGATGGAGTAATTCCAGGGGGTAAACCTTATAAGGTAATTCCAGGTGGTAAACCAGGTGGCAAACCAGATATACCAGGTGGTAATTAAGAGGATTTTGTATTAGGAGGAGGAATCTAACCTGGAATTGGTTATTTTGGTAATTAACTCAGATTAGGAGGTAATCCTGATTTATTTATTGGATTTGATGATGAATTTTATCCTAATGGTGGCAAATTTAAATTAGGTGGAGGAATTGAACCTTATTAGAATTAAGAACCAGGAGGTTGTATTGAACTTTATTATTAATATTAACTTTAAGGAGGTCCATATTAACCTGGTGGTAGTATTTATTAATTCTAAGATGAAATTTAACCTGGTATCTATCCTGGGATTATTTAACTTTAAGATATTTATGGAGGAGGTTTATTTTATTACTAATTTTTATAGTTTATATTACTTAATAACCAATTCCTGGACCAACTTGCTTATTCATTTCTTTCTTTTCTACAATCTCTATTTCATTAGTTTATTATTTTTATTATTATTATTATTACACTTCTATATTTACTTAATTTTATTAATCTATTTTGATATTATATAATTACCTTTCTATTCTATTTTTATTGTCTAAGTCTCCTTTATTGCATGAGTCTACTTTTTTATTTAACTTGCATTTAATATTTCAGACTTTATTTAGACATTACTATCCTCCAATACTTAATTATTTTATAATAATTTACATTTTGTTTATTCTAACATTTCACATATACCCATTGTAAAACATTTCAAAGTTTATAATCCTTTATCTAATTATTCTAATAACAATTCTAAATATATATTAATATCAATTTTTACTTTAAGTATTTGTTTATAAAAATGCGCTATATTATTTAAATAAAGGAATATTGTCTAAGCATTTTCTAAAATCTTTTTTCTTTAAGTCTTTCTCTAAAGTTTATAATCTCTCACTATCAAAACTTTTATGTTCAATTATTTATTCACATAATTATTATATCTCTTTTATTTTCTCCATTAGTTTTCCTTTTTGCTGTTCTTCCAATGCTTTATTACTTATAATTATCTTTTATATCTATCTAAATGTCTTGCAATCTTCTTCATGATTATTATGTTTATCCCAACAACATTTTAAACAACATTACAAATTTTATGTGCATTTCTAATTTAAACAGAAACCAATTATTTCATCTTCATCATGACCTTCTTCTTAACAAAGAAACTCTTATTCTTCACTCATTTATTTATAATAAAAAATAAGAATAAATCACATATTCATTTATACTTTATACATATTTATATATATAAATTAATTATAATTCTATTAAAATTATTTGCATTATTATCATTACCTAAATTAGTATTTACAAAATTAATGTGATATATTCTTGGTTTTGAAAAAATATATTCAATAATATATTTTATTAGATATTTGTTTTTGTAATTCTATTAAGTTAATTATTAATTAACCATGATAAATTCATAATTATATATAATATCATTAATATTATAACTCATAAATGCTATATTACTTCATTTTATAATCCCAAAAGCCTAAGTATTTACCATCTTAAGATAAATTACCATAAATTGAATTATTAGATAATTGTATAGGTTTGGATACAAATTAAAATTGAAAAGTTTTTTCTTCATAACTAATAAAATGGATCATTTAATTGTATTTCAAAATTAATATTTATTTTTCAAAGTTGAATATATTAGGAAATGAGAATAAATTAGTTTCATCTGAAATATTAGGCAATTCTAATCTTAACTGTTATTTTTCAATGTAAATTCCATTCTCTTATTAAAAGAAATGAATATATGGTTAATGGCTTTATTACCATGCAATAATAGAATCTGTGATATATGAAATTGTACAACCATAATCATCAATAGGATGATCAATTAAGTAATTAAAACACCATTTTTAATTGGCATCCTTATTCCAAATAATAATCTTCTTATCTAAACTAGTTGAAATTAACTCTGTATCTTATTTATTAATTATTAAGCTAAATATTACCTTCTCATGCCTTTTTAATGAGTATTAAAACTAAAGAGAATTTTAAATAAAATCAATCTTCCAAATATTTATATAGTGATCTTAACTACTAGATATCAATTAATCTTCTTAATTACTTAAAATTACACATGTAATAACACCATCATGTTTAAAATAACAAATAGATTTATTCCATATATTATTTTATTCTTTATATATTTTAATAGATGTATCAAAGCTTCCCGATATAAATGAATTACTTTTCTTACTAAAAACCAAACAAGTTGCATAATCTATATCACTATCCCCTTTAATAATTTAGAGACAATCAATCATTCTTCCATTAAATTTCCATATCTTTATGTTTTCTTAACATCCACTAACCATTATTGTTCCATTATAATTAAATGCTAAGCTATAACATATTTCTTATTAATTCATTTGACTTAACAGTTAATAACAAACAGAATTATTTTATTAAGCTTATTATTCTTTGTCATCTAAATTCTTTAAACCTTAATAGATTATTAAATTATTTTCTAATTATATTTCTATACTATTTTGTTATATTATCTTTTTCATTTATTTAATTGCTCTCATTATCTTTCTTTAATATGATGAATTTATTTAATTATTTTGAATCTCGAATTCTCTCTTTTCATCAAATAATTCATTATTTCCTTTTATTTCCATCTTTATATTTGTAATTTCTTATAAGTCTCTAATCCATTATTCTGACAAATAGTTAATTTAATCAAATTTCATTAAAACATATTACTTCACTTTCAATATGTCTTAAACTATCATTTATATGATGTTAATATTATTTTCAATTATCTCATATAATTATTTAAAAATTTGACTGCCCTAGCTTTTATTTCCAATTTACATCTAATCAAATTATATTATTCACTCTACCTCTTAAGCAAAGAATTCTTAATTAAATTACTATTTCCTCCTTTATTCTTTCCCTAATACATCATCCAATTCCTTTTTATTCTAATAATGGCTCGAATTTTGGTTATTATTTTCTACGATCTAATATTATTTCATCTAATAATTATTATTAATATTTATAAAATCATAACCATTAAATAGGGGTTTTAATTATTTCAAAATCATTAACAAATAATAATAAAAATTAATAACTAGTTCAAATGAATTTTCATATATTAATACCCTTTTCATCATTTTTAATTGAACTGTGCTTAGATTAAAGATTTAAATAATAATATACCATAATATCAATTTTTAATTATAATCGCAACCCTAGAATATTCATCATTCAAACATTAACGAATATAACCAAAGAATTATGTTATTCGAAAGTTTTCTTTTATTTTGTTTTATATATTATTTATTAAAGAGTAAAATAGTGTTTTTAACTTTAATAGATAACATTTAAAAAAAAATATAATCTATTTTATTAATTTTATGATTATTGAATAAAATTCTATTTAATAGAGTTAATATTTGAATATCATCAGATAATCGACTCTTTGATATCCAAAGTTTAAAACTTAAGAATACTTTTGTAAATAAGAGATTAGATTTTTATTCTAAAATTGTTTATATTGGATAAATTATATTAAATAAGACTAATATAGGTTTGTCTTATCCACATAAAATGATTTTTTCTTTATATTCTTAAATAATTTAAGAGCAACACCAATTAATAATTAGGTATAAATCAAACCTTAATTTTTATAGTTTTAATAATTTTTATTAAAAACCTTTTATAAATCTTGCTAATAAAACCAAACTAATAATATTTTTTTTATTGATCTTCTTCTTCAATCTAAATTCTAACACTTATCCTTGATGTATCAATTAGTTATGATCATTAAGTGATTAAATATAATTTTTGAGTGATTATTCTCATTCTTTTCATATTATTGCAATTAAATTTATAAGTTTTCATCGTAATAATATTCAATTTATTTCTATTACAAATTTGATGATCTGGTAATTTCTGAAGTTGAATTTTTTTTAAATGAATTACATTTAGAAATCAATACTTGTTTGTTAAAATAATTCTATTTAATTAATAATTATTTCCATCTAATTATTATTTATTACTTTTTTATTGAATCACTTTAAAGGATATCTACTGATTTTTTAAACTCTCATCCAAAAAATTATAATTTACTTTTATAATACTAACAATTTATTTTAAATTAATAGTACTAATCTAGGATAATTCAAAAGTTTTATATATTTCATCATCAAATCTTTGGAAACAAGTTGGTTTCTTAGCCTTAAATATTCATATTTATTAACTATATATCTGTAACTCTCTTAAACTTCAAAAAATTAAAATAAAAAATATTTAAAATAAAAAAGTTAACTCATTAATTTTTTTAATAGAAGAATCCTAATCATAATAATAGAATTAACAATTTAAATAAATATTTTTTTTAATGAATCCAGAGTATTAGAGGATCAAATTCACTATGCCCAGTTTGGACAAGTTTATAATAATGGTATTATTAAAAGAATTAGTCTTAGGATTTTAACAAGAAAATAGCATTAGAAGATTTAAAATTTACATTTACAAATATTCTTAAAATTGACTTATTTGGTTTAAAAGTTGAATTTTTTATTTCAAAAGGTTTTAACTTTATTAGTTTAAACTCACAACTATCATTATCTGGGCAACCTAATTAGGATCTCTTTAAACAAGATAATAACTTTATTGAAATCACAGTAAAATTTGTGCAAGAAGGAGCATGATACACAGCTTTCTTAAATGAATTTCATATTATTTATTGCTTTAATTAAATATAGCAAAATGAAAAATTATTTTCATAAATTGTGTCTGAAATAATCTATTTAAAGAGGTAGAGGAATATTTTGATAAATTTTCTAAACAATATCCATATTGTTATTAAAATAAACTTTAGACCTTTACTAATATATGCATTCTTATTTTTCTTAAATTAATTAAACGTAAAACTAAATTAATTTTTGCTAAATTTTCTTTTCTTTAGATAACTTTTAAGTATCTAAAATTCATCAAATTAACATTTATTCATATCTAAACATGTCAACAAAATTTTTTTATAAAAGGTAATTGTTTATTCTTTTTCTGCAATTATATGAATTCTTTCAAAATTGTTTAAATTCCTAAATGTGAATGTATCATTTAAATTACGTTTATTTCTAAAATTAAAATATATCCCTTATACAATAGGATATAGCTATAAATATTATGGATCCCAAGCTTTTTATTATTTAGTCTAATTCAATTAAGATTTATTTAAAATTTTTGAAAATGAAACACTTTTTTGAAAACTTTATTGGCTTTCAACTGGGTTAAATTATTATAAAATATCTGGCCCATTGTATCCAGGTTATGAAAAAATATAGAAATTTCTTATAATGGAAAAATTATTTGCACTTATCAAAATCATTATAATGCATTTTTTTAATGTATTATAGTTACTTATTTTTAAAAATATTTCTGAAGATTTAAGTCAAATTGGAGTATATGAATTCAATTTCAAATTATACTTCGTCAATTCACTCAAAACGAAAAATTAATTTTTCCTATTAAACATAAACTTCTAAAATCTAATATTTTTCTAATTAATTATACTTTAAGTATCTCAAAAAATAAATTATAATTGTTTGCAATAAATCCGACTAATGTCAATAGTTAAAATATTCATTTATTTTTAATCAATCAATTAGAAATACCCAAATTAAAAAAAAAATTACATTAAATACTAATGTTGACCTAAATCTAACTCTTTATGTATCTAAAAAAAACTCTAATAACAGTTCTCCTATTATAATTTTATTAGAATATTTATATATAAATAAAATTAAAAATTATTTAGTATGAATAAGAAATAAGTTTACATTTTGTGGTTTTATTGATAAGAATCAATAAATCCGTTAATATAAAAATTAATTTAAACGTAATATTTAAATAGCCAAAAAATTAATTATAATGATACAAATCTATAAAAGATATATTAATTTTTATTCATTTTACACTTGTATTTAATGCCTACTTAACTTAATCTTCATAGTTAGTTTCTGTATTTATTTATGGATACTTTATCATAGTTGTATAACGAGTGAAAATTCGTTATTTCCTAAATTAATAAAGGAAAATAATACCCTTAAGAGTCTTAATTTCTTTTAGAAATATAAATTTTTCTTAATTTTTGAATATTTTATTTCAATCTTACTTCATATTATCTCCAAGATTCTAATTTAGCACTAAAAATTAGAGTGATCTTTCGATAAATAGTTTATTTTTTAAGTAATTTTAAAATAAGAGTAACCATATAAATCTTATGTTTTCGATAATATGTTCTAATAATACTAAAAACAAAAGGAACACTTAATTTGATACATATAATTATTATAAAAATTGATGTAATTTGTGAGATAAAATAATTGTCTTATTAATCGCAAATATATTTTACTACAGCTAAATTAATAGAAAGTAAACAATATTATCCAGCTTTAACATCTAATTTATTTAATTTCTAATTAATATATGGTGAAAATTTGAGAGCAAACAATTAATAAAACACTAAAGTTATTCCTATCAAGGTTCCTTTTAATATTACTTAAGTTTCAAAATAAATTAATAATATTATTATTACGGTTTTCTTCCATAATTTAACCCATTCCCAATAATAATTTTGAATTGTATATTCATTAAATAAATATCCAATATGTCTTCTGAATTTAATTTAATTTAAATTATTCTTCTTAATGTACAAAATTATTAGTAATGAAAAAGGTAATACTACACCTATTATTGCTAAAGCTGGTATAGCAAATAAAAAAATCCAGTTCAGATGATTATTTTGACCATATTATAAAGATACATCTCCTTATATATAATCTAAATTAGAGATCTATCTTTTTGCTAAAATTGAGAAAAGCCTAAGTATAATTGTTTAGTTACTATTTAATTAAAGCAGTATAATTTTGAATAAATAAATAAAGAATAGTAATTGAGATTAAGTTAGAATCAACTTTGCTTTAAGAAACTAGAGTAAATAAATTAAATATAATTTAAATTAAGATTACTTAACATAAGATTAATACATAACTTGCCATAATGCGACTATATATTAATTCGAAATTAAAAATTTCAATAAGTTAACAATCTAAAGTACTAGCCATAAAATAGGATGTATCATTAGCTCTGCTAATAAAATTAAAAGTGAAATTTGTATTAAAGGTAAAAATAATTGAGAAGATCCACAAATAATTTAAAAATAACTTAAGTAAAATACTCTCTTGATCTAAATAATGAAATAAATAAATACCTAGATTAAGTTTAAAAAGAATATATCCGAATCTTTAACTTAATTAATATGAAGTATATCTTTTATTAGTATTTTAAATGCTTCTTACTGTTATAAGATTGATTAGTAAAGCCCTAAATATATAAATTTAATAAATATATTACCAAATAGATGTGAGAAGAAAAGCCAAAATACTATTGCTTAAATCATTACAATCAAAACATTCTAAAGTCTATTCATTTTAAAAAAAAGATCCATCTCCTCTAATATTATATTTATCACATTATTCACATAATCCACCTATATGTCCAAAAGTACAAAGATCATCTCCAACTGTCCATCCACCTTTACAAAATTACATATTTTTAAAACACTAATCAATTATATCACATAAAAAGTTTGGTCTCCAATATCCTTTTTGCAATTCAATATTATTTGAAGTTATTGCTTAAAATTTATTTTTATCAAAAAGCGAACATTTTGTTGTATTATAAATTACAGAATAATAACCTTAATTTGATTCACAAATTTAACAACCATTCTCAGCATAAAACTCACCTAATTGACAAAAAAAACTTTTAACTTATAGATTATATTGCAATTCTTCACTTTCATCTGAAAACCTGCATAAAATTTAAATTTCATAGGTTTTATTAATATGTTGATAGGGATCAAATTAAAACATTTGAGTACTTAAATCAATATTACTATTTTCTTCATTAAATTATACTTATGAAATATTTTTGTAATCTAATACTTTATTTGTCATAACATCCTAAATCTATTATGCTATCGTACAATATGTGTTTGAAAAATTTCTTAATTATTCATCCATTTAATTTTTAAAAGTTATTGAGACTTATGAAATATAAGAGATGAATTTCAACAGTCTAACATCATATATTCTATATTATTATATTATTTAATTGCTTGGAATCATTAAAACATTTGTATAAAGCATTTATCCTTAAGATACAATTTTATAAGTATTCATTTTTAAAATCTTGATTGACTTATTCCCAATTTATTATTAAGTAAACATCATTTATTGATTATTTATATTTAAATCTAAATGAGATGCAGATTCTTTGACATTATTTGCAAACCCTAATGCAAAGTTTAATATTATTAATGATTAATTAAAATTTTCTTTTTTTAATCTACTTGTTCCATTTAAATATATTCCACCTCCTTCTTTTGCCTTATTATATATAATTATTGTTTTTTAAATTTTAAAATCTTCAGAATATAATTTTAAATAAAGTCCTCCTCCAAATAAAATTGCAGTATTATTCAAAATTTTTGATTTACTCAAATATATTTATACTTAATTAGATTATATAGCTATACCATAAGTACCTTAATTGTAAATATAATTACATTATTTTATATTGATTTTTCCATTTTATTTTTAATCTGCAAATGCATTGATACATCCAAACTGTCTAACAATATTATTTATACATTATAAATCCTGAATCATTATATTAGAAAAATCATTTAAATATAAATATATTAAACCATTCCAACATATTTAACAATCATTATTTAAAATCTTAAGAGACGATATTTGAATTTTAGTGCTATTTTAAAAGCTTTTCAAATAAATTAGAGATCCTTCTTTATTGTTACGTAATTTTATTTATTAGAATAAATTGGAGGAATTTCTAATTATTTAATTGTAACTTTAAGTATATATAAATTTAATCTTATTACATTTTTAAAAGCTCTCTGAAATAGTTGGCTAAAAGTTATAGCTAAGATTTAATTTTTGAAATTCACCAATTTTTATGTTTTAGATAATAATATTTGTAATTTAAATAGTATTTGATCTGAATTCAATTTATTCTATTTGTATTAATGATTATTGAAAATATAAATAAATACCATCTATTTAAATATTTATTAAAACTACTCTTGAACAATCTACAATTCTAAACAAGGGCAACATAAGAATTCCTTCAATTTATAAATTTTTTATTTAAACTTTACAACCTGCAATATTTATAATTGCATTATTGTTTACTATTTGTTATAATAACAAAGGTTCTAAATAATCTAATTTATTATGAAATTAAGTTAACTTATCAGTAGTACTTATTATTCTTAAATTATCAATAAGAACTTGATTTTCATTAATAGAATTAGATACAGAATTCAACTAAAGAAATGAATTTCTTAAAGAATAGCAATTTTCTATTTTTATCATTTCTAATAAGATTTTGTTTTTATATGGTGATGTATATATTGAAAAAACAGATGGTGCAAATTTATTTTCAATTTCAACAAAGGTAAAATTTTTCAATGCCATAAATAAAAAACTGCCGGAAGAATCAATTGTGAGTGCACCATCACTTTCTAAATTAGATTGTACATAATTTTCAGCATTTAGAAAATTACAATCAGATATAATTATAATTCCATCTCCTTATGATATTATTTTAAATAAGGAGCTACTTTATGCAATTATATATTAAAATAATCCATTAGTAAGAGAAAATTACTAAGAATTTACTTCCATTAAACCTCCTTTATTACTAAATGAATAACTTATATGAATTAAGTAATTTATTTAACTTTAAGTAAAAATACTCTCTAAAAATATATCATAATATTAATTCCAAAATTATACTTCTAAATAATTATGATATTAAGCTTTGATATTAGTAATTTCTATTTATTTAGAGAATATTAAAATAAATGTTTATGTTGAATTTGTTATAACATTCTAATATGATGTTATATTATTTGCTAAAATTGAACTACGAAATGAATTAATAAATAACAAACTTGAAGAACTTTTAGTCGGATCAATCGCATATTAATTAAATGCATTTTGTTAAAATTGTATATTTTCTAATTCTATTTCTTATTCTTTTTCAGAGTAGATTGATATAAGTGAAAATAAATTACCTTAACCAATTTTCAATAAAATATTTCCATAAAAAGATATATTTTTAAATGTTACTTTTTCTACTTCATAATTTAACTCAAGGGTATTTGACAATATTTCAAAAATAGATACATCAATATTTAATTAATTAAAAATTTAAACATTTTCAATTAAAAGATTTTAAAATCCAAATACATATATCAATTAAGAATGCATTTTAATGTTTTTTAAACAATTTGATGATTATGGAATTTTTAATTATTAAATATCATTTTTATATTAAATATTCTACATCTTAATTTGATAAACATCAAACATATAAAAGTATCTTTCATTATATGTATTTTCTATTTAGACATTATAAATTTATATCGTCGAGGAAATCACAATAAACATATGCTTATACATATCTTCAAAATGAATATTATTTTTAATATCAAGATTAATAATAGTAATATTACTTTATTAAGAGGTTTACTTTTCTGTATTTAAAATTATAAAATTTTTGAATTAATTTTTAATTGCACTTAGTTTATTTATTTAAAATAAATTTGATACTTTAATCGAGAACAATATTGATTAAATAAAACTATTTGAAATCATTTCAAAGTCAAATGCAAATGTATTTTAATCAAAATTTATGAATTCACAATTAGAAAATTAATTATCAAAAAATTAAAAGGATTACATCCATAATTTCCTATATCTGTTATTTTTATTATTTAAAATCAAACTTGAATTTTTAAATATTGAATTTTTAATCACAACTTGTTTAATTATTACACTAACATTTTATTCAAAATATTATGTTTCAAATTAGAAAATTGTTGAGTTTATAAATTCACATCTTTCTATTATGAGATAATCAATGAGTACATTATTTTAAATATTCATTAAATTATATAAAATTGAATTGTAAAAGACGCTATCTTAAAATTGTAAATTATTTAAAGAGGTATTTTTATTTAAATTAGAATCGTAATTTATTTGAAATAAATTAGAGTTTGTAATTCTAATATTTAAAATTTGAAAATTGTTTATGAAAAATTATACACATTTTTCTACAATAATTGAAATCTAAAAAAGTAGTTGTTGTGTTGAATATATTTTGGAATCAATAATTTTAAAATTTAATGGTGAATCTCTATTTGAAATATTAGCTTAAAAGTCATTTTAAATAAATATTTATAAATTAGTAAATTCAATTTCATCATATTTCTAAATTGTAATTATTTAACTCTCATAGATTAAAATACCTTAAAATTTCAAAATAAGCATCTAAAGAGAAAAAATTTATTCTTTCAAATTATTCTTAAAGCCTCCTATATCTGAGCATGATATATCTCCAAATAAATTTAAAATAAATGCAAAATATTTAAGGCCTATTTGATTACTATATTCAATAAATTTTTTAGAATTTGTTTAAAATTAAATTAAAGCACAATCATTTTCGATCTAAGCTAAATTAAAAATAATTTACATATTTTTCAAAAATTGAATCACATTCATTATGATAACAGTATCTAGAGATTTGTAAATCTGGATCAATATAAACATTAGGTGATAAAATACTTTTTAGACATATTTAAGTATATATGTCATTTTCATCTGAGATTTAGAAATACTTATTGATTTACTAAAATGATAATATTTATTTTTACAAGTATTTGATTAGTAGATCTCTCTTAACATAATATACATAATGGTGGACAAATTAAGCATTTTTCAAGTTAAGCAGTTCTAATAGGTTGATTATAATAATTTAATTAACAAAGTGAACAAGTGTATATAGTCCTTACTATTTTAATAGTAGTTTTTTGACATACTTAACAATCAGAATCACAATATTTAATACAATTATTTTTTTACAATTTATATCCATCTTAACATTTTAAAGGACAAATATCGTACTTCCAATCACTTAATGAATTCAATCTAATTGAGTTCCAAAATGTTCTTGCAAAAGCTTAAGTAAGTTAAATCCATGCTTCATGTTTGCCTCTATTACAAGAAAAATATTTGGCAACATTTGATAGACTTTAATCAATTTAACAAAGTCCAGTTATAGTTGAAATTAGATATCCATCCTCACAAATAATACATTTTAATATTTACGAATAAGTAAGTAAACATTCTTCACAATAATTAATGTATTTTTGACAATTGATTATTGAAGGAGCAATACTAAAATCATCTAATTAAGACAAAGTACAAATTTCTTAATTTTCAACATTAATATATGATCTAAGACAATTTTCAATAGATGGATCTTTATATTTACATTCTTTAATTATAAAATCATAAATAAATCCATCTTAACATAATGCACATCCAACTTAAAATGCTTCATCACTATCAAATAATATATCAGTAAATGATAAAGTATTTCTTGTAAAATCATCTAAATTAAAATCAAAACAATAAATGCAGTTTTTTATAGGACATAATTCACATTTTTTTAAATAATTACGATATTATGGAATCTCACAAATTTAGATCTTCAAAAAAGGTTAAAATAATACACATTAATTTTTATCTTTTTCGTAGTTATCCTTACATTCAATACATAAAGTTCCTTCTACTTAAATTTTAAAAAAATCACAATCTATAAAAGTATTACTAAAACATTCTTCCATAATTGTCCATTAATTTAAAAATTAACAATTTTTTTTAGTTGTTGAAATATAATCTTAAAATAAGTCATAAGAATTTTCACAGTTATTACACAAAATTAAATCATTGCCATCAAAGAGATAATATGTTTTAACTTATTATATTTATTAGAATGGACTTAAGATATTATTAGAAATATAATCATATTCACAATATGGATTATTTATCCATCCTTTTGGATTAATTAAACATTCAATACATGTTACCTATAAATCTTGTATGATTGAAGGACTATTTAAGATTATATAATTACCATCTAACACATTAACCATCATTTTCAAAATAACTATAAGGACATTTTGAGTTCTCTAAATTTTGATTATCTAGATTTAATTATTCAATATTATAATCATAACATTAATCCCCGAAATCAATTGTTCCATAAGGACATATACATTATTTAAATTCTTCTTAATATATTCTATTTGATGATTACCAACAGGATAAACAATCTGATTTAGTTGGTCCATCACATTCTTTACAATTATTATGACATTCATTTTTAAAGGGAGTTTAGTAAACACAATTATTAAATGAAAATTCCATCATTTACACATTTAAACAATTTTAACATTTCAATATATTTCCATAAATCACTTAAAATTAAACATTTTGGAATTAGTATACTTAACTTTCAAATACATATGAATATTATTTCAAACCCTCATAAAAAAATATTTAAATAATTATTGAAGTTTCAGTTTTTTAAACTGCCAAATAATGCCATTTAGATATATTATGATTCAAGTCAAATTCTTTTTTAATTATAAAAGGATTATTTTTAAAATCCATATTTACTGATGGAAATGTATAACTATATGTAGTGACAATCAGTTAATTATGAGAGTGAGTTAACTTATAAAACAATTAAAATGCTGATAAATTTTCATCAATCAAAATTTAATTCTAAAAATTTGCACAAAGTTTTATTAATTAATATAGAATCTATTAATTATAGATATTTATATTCGTCAATCTCACCCAACTTTATAATCTAAATGCATTACAATTTGGAAATTCTATATGATAATAATTTACATCTAAATTTTTTATATTTATCATGGATTAAAAATTAAACTAACTTAATTAGCAATAACATAAATTATTAAACTCTTTATTATAACCTTCCGAAGTAGATAATTCACATTTCTCAAAACTTTTATTTAAAAAATAAGGATGTAGGTATCTAAATTTTCCTGGAAAAAAAGAAAGTTTTGAAGTTTCTGAATTATACAACACTTGGTTATTGTTTACAATTAAGCTTCCTCCAATAACAATATTTAAATTCACATCTTTAAATGGAAACTCTACAGCAACCTGTTCATAAAAAATGTGGTGGTTTGTTTATGAAAATATTGCAAATTGAAATTTTTAAATTTTAGGTATAATCATGAAATTGAAAAAATACCATTTAGATTCATATTCTTATGTATTTATTGGTATTTCAAATTTAGAAATAATTTGATTCTGATCGTAAAATATTAAGACCTTTTTTATAGAATGGATTTAAATGTCCAAACAATCATAGTAAATTAGGTTAGGTTCATTAGTTGTTTATTCTCTTATACTAAATAAATGATAACAATTGCTATCTAAAACTCCTAAATCTCCAACTTAAGTTATGTTACCAAGTGGATTATATCTACTCCATAACCCAAATGTATTGCACTCAAAATCAGTAAAATTAGTTGAATCAATATGATAAGGCAATATCAGGTATTAAAACAAGGAATTGAGGTTGCTGACTATTTAACACTAAAAAATTGCTAAACAGGAAATCATCTAAAAAATCTATCGTTAGATACTATACATGTTATTAAATAAATATTAAATAATATATTTAGATACACAGTTAGTTATAAACCTCGCAATTAGAATTTGATTGGATTCATCTGTTTAAAATTTTAATTTCTAAGAGTTTATGGCAATTCTTTATCTGTAATTTAATCCCTGAATGCTTTGTGGTTGTTTATTACACTCTGTAAATATCCTATAGAAATAAGTGATTAGCAAAAATACTATTTTTTGGATGCCATATAAAAATCTGTAAAAAAGGGTTAGAAGGTTTCGATTTAAATATATATACATATAATTATATTTGGAATATTAAATTAGATTAGGATTGGTATGGATTATTCTTAAATTAATAAATTAAATCTGAAGGTTTGTAAAAAAGTTGAAACAAAAAAGTTATTGAGAGTTGAATTAGGGATATCACTTTTTCTTTTTTAATTTTTGGATTGTCATATATTAAATTTTAATTTGACTTTATTAATACAATTCAATATTTTTTTTAAATATAATCATTTTCCTAAGATGACTATTATATCATCCAAATTGATGTCTGCTTATTTCTAATTAAGTTTAAATATCTTAATTCTTTATAATCCCATTTATATATTCTATCTAAAAATTCTATATCAATTGAAATCGCCAAAATTTTACATTACAAAATCATTATTTAATAAACTATTTTTTTTCATGATTTATTATTTAAGAGTTCATTATATTAATATACTAAGCCAAGAAAATCTATAATTTATAAATTATCCCATAACAATCTAATATTGATATTTATCTCTTGATAATATTATATTGCCTATCCTAACGTTTTATTTAATCAGAGATTGAATTAATATGTAACGAATTCATTATATTTGATGCTTCTTCATATTTCTCCTTTATTTAAAATTCCCCATAATCTAAGTCCATAAATTTTCTTTTCTTTATTAGTAAAAATTCTTCCATTCATTAAAAATTTTCTAAGTTGAAAAAGCAATTCTTTTTTTTTAGACATCTATGACTATTCTATTTATACACTTTTTGAATCTAAAATTTGTTAATACTTTTCGTTCATAATTATTATAATTTATCTTAAAGTGGGAAAAGATTCATTTTTTAATATACTTCCATTTTTCTCTACTTTGTATTTTAGATCAGAATTAAAAGAAATCTGGAAGTATTCTAAGAACATTTCCTTCTTTTTATAATTCTAGTTATTTAATTAATTTATAAAATGAGATTATTAAAAGTATTCATTAACTTTATTTTTAAATTTTAGATTTTTTCTCTCTTGCTTTGGAAAGTCTCTTCACATTGATTCAAATTGTACTATTTGGTTGCTATATATTTCAAAAATTATCTTTTAATAAACAGCATTATAATTTTCAAGATTATTAATCGCCTAATCTTAAACTATTCCTTTTTATTTCCTAAAGTTTTTGAACTTTTATTAATCTTTTAAATTTACCTTTTACCTCATTATTATAAGCATTATCAGGATTTCTATTAATAGTATAATCATAATAATTTAATACTTCTTCATCTCTATTCATTTTTGAAAGAAAATAAGCTAAATATTTGAATTACCTTTAAATGAAAAAAAGTTAGACTCATCAGAATTTTTATTAATAGCATAATCTAAACTTTCTTTCTATTCAATTTTAATAGCATATCAGCTTTATTATATTATTTACATAATAACCAACAAATTAAGGTTTCAAATTATTGCATAATCACAATTTTATAATGCTTCTTCTTTTCTATTCATTTTCTAAAGTGTTTCCACTAATTTTAACAATTACTATAAACCTCTAATTTATGAAAATAATCAATCTTATGAAGATTTTTATTAATACCAAAAACATAATAGTTTTGATAATTTCTATTAAAATAAAATCTTTATTTCCTATTTCAAAAATTGAGAATTACTTATCAATATGGTAAAGAGATTATTTTAAAAAGCAATAAAAACTTTAACAATAGCTTTTACCCTTTATTCTCAAAGTCATTCTTATAAACAGATTCACTTCTTCTTATTATTATTATTATTATTATTATTATTATTAATATTACATAAATTAAGAAAATAAATATAGTTGCGAGTGTTGCCAAACTGGCCCATATAAAAATATTCAATCTTATAAATAGCATATATATTAAAAGCATTAAGGTTCGACCCCAAAATAAAATAAATTGACGAAATTGGGCTTACAAAATGGGAGTAATCATTAGTAATAATGTTGCTGATAATCCCATTTAAATTTAACATTTTAATAATAATAACATTTATATTAATCAATTTCAGTATAATACTGAAAATATAAATTAACTTTCATCAAATTAATAATTAATAATATATACTTGGAATGTCTTCTCAATA